ATACAAATAGCGCCCTCGAGCACACCAACAATGGCCAGAGAAATACTGAAACTGTAACAAACAGCCCAACTAATGTGTAATAAATAAAGTCGACGAAAATAGGCAAAACACAAGAACACACTCGAAAATTGTAACCAGCACAGAAACGAAGTGATGAATGCAACGGATAATTTATTTTTATTACATTATTAATTGACGCCCTCTCATGTTATTATGTGTCGGATTGTCGGAATCAAAATACAGCCCATCCATTACGCGTTGTGGCGGCGCACTTTTTCATTCAATGGCTTGGCTTGGCTTGGCTTAGCTTGGCTATTGCTGTTGTGGTCATGTTTACCGCGCAGTTCCGCTCGCTCACAACATTCAACAACAGCCGTCGCACACGAAAAAATCAATTGTCGAAAAATTGAATAGCGGAAAACTTGACGAAACACTTCATCGATATGGTCGACAATTTTTAGCCGTTTTTTTTTTATTTTCCGAGAAAACTACGATAAAAATGAAAAAAACATATGATGAATTTTTTTTTTTTGATTTGTGACATGCAATAGATTTTATCCAAATCAAAGCAAAACCCTTGCTTCGTACTCCACAGATTCTCCATGGTTTTCTCGTCAATTTCTTCCATGTGTCGCTTCTTTGGTGGTTCTGAGTCAACAAACAAAAAACAATGAACCGAAAATGAACAAAACCAAACGTGGAAAAGAAAACTGAAAAAGTATTTTTTCGTTAATCGACATTCCTTTCAGCTAGTGCACAGTTGCACATAATATTTGGTTCTAGCTCATTAACTCCCCTTTTCAACGAATAAAGAAACAAATTATTACAAACTGAGAATACCAAATAATTTTTCTGGTATTCATCGTTGCATTTCGCTTTTCTCTCCGTGTGTGTGTCTTTCGTTGTATTTGTTTCGGCTGTGGTAAAATTGTGATGCGCTCAATTCCAAAATATCAGCCGTCGAATAGTGGTAAATTGCGATTGCATTGGCCGAACGAAAAGCGGCGTAAAATCAAAAAGTGGCGTCATTTTAATGGTTTTTGTTTAGCTTGTGTCTTCATTCCGATGCCTGTCCACCGCAAATGAAACAATCAAAATCCGCGGCTAAAGAGAAGTCAAGGCAATTATTTGTGTAGACATATGTAGTTTATCGTAGTTTCAAGACATGTGTAATTACCCGGTTCGACCACAGCAATCGATCTGAAGCGCAAATATGTAATTTCACTTTTCAAAACATCAATAAATCGATTTGAAAACATTCCAGTGTTCGTGCAATTGTAACTGGAAAGTCCAACTTTTTTTTTTCAAGAGCATGGATTCGTCGACCCAATCACTCGTGTTTTAAGGTTCGGGGGGAGGAAATATTTCATTTTTATTTTATTTTATTCAACATATACCGGTGATTAAAAATGTGTAATTAATAAATCAACAAAATCAAGAAAATCAATCGAGTGAGCGGCTCTCTCATCATAAATAGATAAGTTTGTCGATGATGTGGTTCTTTTTCATAGTCGTCGTTGTCCTCTTCTTCAAATGGTCAATCAATACTACATTGTTCGGTGTGGTTCTCTTTTTCCCTATAATATGATATGTGTATGCACGTTCCAATCGATAATTTGTAAGAAATTTTACGCTTCCATTAGTTGTGCAGCACACATCACAGGAATGTTACAAAAAGACACCGACAACATCCAGAACATATACGTGAGAACCCAATCAAAGTGTTGACTAATGCCCGCGTATGGAAAGAATCCATTCGAGAATGAAACGAACCAAATTCGAAACTTGTGTACATTGCATTGAAATGAGAGAGAGAGAAGAAAAAGCGCGTAATAAAAACAAAACATACAGCCTGATGGCATCGACATCAAAATGAGTGGAGCGGATTGTGTGTGAGAAAAGCGTGTTGACTTTTAAACAGTCTGTTTTTTCTTCAGAATCTTGTTGATTATCGACTGCGACACATTCAAATCTAATAGGTTTTTTCTTCACCTCGATTGTGTTGACTGTAATCACATTTATTGGTGAGTATTTGTTTCAGCCGTGAGCCAATTTTCATAGGCAAACACAATGGGTTTTTTTACCGCCTAGCGTCACCGACTCTCCGTATTCAGTACGTGTATACGTGAACCATATTTGCTTTTAGTTATCGTTTATTTTTGGTTTATTCAATTGGTACATATTCGATAATTCAATATTGTTTTAGCGATAAGTTATCGCATTCATAGAGCGAAACAAGTACTTTTTTTGTTCACAACACACACTCGATTTGTCCGTGCGAATGGGAAACATTCATGAACATTTTTAATTGTATTCGCCAGAATTTTCATGCCGTGTGTAGTGCAGCTAATGTTTAAACAGCAACAACAATGAACGAACAAATTGAATTGTGGAAAAAAAATGACAAAATCCACACACACAAAACACGAAAATACGAAATAGAGTCGCTCTTTGCATGGAGAGGAAAAAAAAGATCTTTTACGTAATTGTCATTTGCATTGGCTAATTGTGTTTTGCACTTGCTATCGAGCTTCAGAAAGTAACAACAACTTATTAGTTTGGATGTCATTGGTCTTATGCTTACGTCATGTGGTGTGTGTGTGTGTTTTGTGTCATCAAGCAAACTGACGACATTGAATTCTCTCTCACACTGTCTCTAAAAATAAAAGCAATGAGTGAAATCATAATTTGCCTAAACTGCACACACACAAGTTAAATGGAGCCAATAGTTTGTCGTTAAAAGAAGTCAGTTTCGGGAAATTAGTCATTTGGAAAATTCAACGAACACTCGACTCGCATCAAACGAATGCATATCAACTGAAAATGTTGCTTTGAAGCTGATTTTTCGAATCAATTTTCCGAAAAAGTTATCGAAACGAGTCTAGTGCCGTTGCTGCTGCCGCTGCTGCCGCTGCTGCTGGCAATGCATTGAATCTTCATATTTTCTATCTTGTTACTTAGTTCTGCTTTTAATTAAAGGCAGTAAATGTATAATTCCACCAGATTTTCATCTCACAAAAACAAATGAAATTCTTAAAATATATCCACACCCATCCATAATATGCATGGATCCGGACAGAAAAAAGCCGAGATCAACCGAAAATAGCAGTCGCATCTTCGATGGATGTGTTTTACATGCATGCAAACAGTGTTCGCCGAACAACGCCTGCCGAAACTTAAAAATGCTGCTCTTTAGAGAAAAAAAGGGCACTTAACAACAGCGCCAAAGAAATAATAAAAGAAAAACACATGCAACTTTCCTACTTTGATATCTAGTTATGGGAATATTGACTATATCTATATATGCATGCTATTTTTATGATGCGATAGCATTGTGTGATGGCAACACAAATGCCAGCAACTTTACTCCGTTATACTCGCTCCGCTCTCGAACGTGAATATTTATTGAACCGAAAAATGAGCGTCATATTTTTAGTTGAATAGTTTTCCGATGCGCCTGGCCTTTTAGCTGGCTCGGAATAAAATTCGCGACCGAATGCTTGCCGGTTGGCTAAATTTAAATGACAAGTGCTATAGTTATCAAAATCGATTTCTATAGCAATGAAGGTCAATGAATTCCGGCTGCCAGTTTCTTTTTTCGACTATCTTCCCTTTAAAAGCCGAATCGTTTCAAATAAATTATTCAAGGAAAAACCGAATGTGATGGTTTCAATTCGCTCGAGAAATGGAAAACAACTTTACACCTACAGACGAAAATCAATCGATCGATAGCGTACTCCAACATCGATCTAACACAGCGTACATTGTGGTGGAAAGGGCTGAACACATTTTTCATATCGTTTGCTCAATCATTCAATTCGTTTGAAATATATATATATCGGTTTCGTAAAAGAAATGAACGAATTGTGTGTGTTTGCTTGTTTTTTGTTGTACACTCGAACGTGACGGAGTGCTGTGCGCGCGAAGAAAGTTCTTAAAATTGCAACAAGCTAAACATTGTATGCACCGAAACGGATGAATGACGCAGAGAATGTATGCAGTAGAAAAGAATGAACACAAAAAGTGGCAGCTCGTTGTTGTTGTTTTTCGTTATTGCTTGTCTGGCGTCAACATTTAGACACTATTTAGAAAAATGATGTAATAATCATAAATGTGAACTGAGAGAAGGACACTAAAAAATGTTATAATGTATCAATTGTGTGTATTGAAAGTTGCTCAGTTTATGACTTGGCCTAGTTTGTGGTCAATTTGCATGTGTTCAATTTACATTTGAAAATTAACGCGAAATGATGTTTTGACGCGGAAAAAAACTTACAGCCACCCGTACGGTATTTGATGCCGATCACAATTTCAAGCCTCGAGTGTTTTAAACTGGCAGAAACAAAAATATTCACATTCTCACTATCGATTTATTTTTGTGTGTGTTTTTTTCGGCTTCACGTGAAATTTGCATTCGTTTTTGGTCATTGTTTTCGTGAATATGCTGATATTTTGCCAAACTCTGTTACCGCTGGCAACAGTTACCAATGGAATTCATTCCGAATGAAATTCCGTCGACATTTTTGACAGTTTTTGTGTTGTTGTTGAAATTACGTGATCTTTCCTACGAATATCAATTCTATCCGAAGCAAAGAGCTTCTTGAAATCGCCGATTTGGCCATCATGTGAAATCATCGACATATTTCCATTTTTAGCCACCGGTCAATTTTTTCTGCTTCGGTTGAATGATCATTTAAATATGCTGATGGTTTGAATATTTTGACATCATAGAAGCTCTTTCACTAATTGGATCATCTTTCGTTTAAAACCACTGCGCTCAAATTAACGCGCTTTGCTTCTTAATTGTTTTCCAATTAATTTTATTATTTCACCAAATTTAAATTTGAAAAATGAAATCATGTGAGAAAAAAAATGTTTAAAAAAACCCAATACCAAATCCCATCACCTATTGACTATTATGAATAATCAATTTGCGAAAAAAAACGCAATAAAATTTTTCGATTTGCTTTGCAAAAATTGTGCATTAGTTGCGATCATACCTGAGAAACGTGCCAGGAACTTGTAAAATCCGTTTGTGTTGCATTTTAATAAAGATGGTCGCTCCATCGTAAATATTTGCCTAGTGTTTGTTTTAATCGGCTGATAACAACAGCAGCTGCTATCATCCATTTGAAACTGTATTTTATTTTTTTACGATTAATGTCCCAAATCTTTGCTCTCTTTACAAAACCTTGTTTTGGTTTGTATTCGATCAGTTAATCTTTTTTTTTATCGATACTTATTACGGCACAAATGTTTATTGTATGGTCAAACAGTTTTTTCGTTTACTTTCGCAACACATTATGGGGCTACTTAGTTATTTTTGTTTTTTTCTAATGTTTCGCTGAACATTTTCTCTTCTTCTTTCAATTTAATGTAAAGGGCGTACAATTTTCAACAGTATTGTACTGATTAATTTCTTTTTTGAGTGATTGGAATTATTCGAATTCTTTTGTCGGATTAATTTTGAAATGAATCTTCGTCGTGGAGTTTGTGTTTATATTTTGATGATGCGAACATTGTTCGTCCGCTTCGGCATCTGTGAAAGAAATGAAAAGATCAATTTAATTAGTAAGATCAATAAAATGGATGGAAATTACGGTGAAGTATTGTCAAAAACCGACTCAACACCATTGCTTAACTAGATGATTATGTCAGTTGAAGAGAACGTGTTCATTTGTTGCAAGCAAAAGAGTAAAAAAAAAATTGAAATGCGACCTTTTATTTAGGCTATGCAAATCAAATCACGTCGATCTGATACGGAATTTTCTCTTTTTTGACGGTGTAAATCGTGGCGCGTCCAGTGTAGCTTAAATACAGAACAAAATGTATGATTCATGGCTTAAAACTTCTTTCCAAGACTTGCTACCACCGCCAGTACAGAGTACACTTAACTAAATGACAACCAGTGAATACTAAACGCCGTTTTACTGGGAGAAATTTTCTATGGTCAACACGACAACCATCTGGTCAGACCATGAACTCGGTGATCATCCATTGGAAACTCCTTAATTAAAAGGCTTCGATGGGCTGTCGTCGAAAACCTATCGAATTCATTGAATAAATAATAAGATATTGACCAGAAGTCCAATCGTCTTTCGGTCGGGTCGATGGCACATTCCAAAATTATATGATTCAAAATTGGGTAATTGTAATGTCCGACGAAAATCAATGCATGTGCTATATTGATTGTTGTGTGTATGTGTGTTCTTTTACGCGCAAACCAAACTGAACATATGGCACGCACACATCCTCCGCTCATAAAATATGAATGAAGTAATCGGCACGCCAAACAGCGTGTAAAACATTAATCAATCGATTGTAAGGTGTTTGGATTTTATATCAGGAATGAAAGCGGCTTCGCACGGGGCAAATAACACACATTGTCGAAATTTAAAATTGGCGGACATATGTTGAGCCGCCGCTTCAAATTTGAAAGTACGAACGGAATGCGGCGATTTTTGTTTCTCAGCTTTCTGCAATGTAACTCTTTGGTGAAACATGTTCTTCGTTCTGCATGTGCGAGCCAGAAAAACAAAACGCACGGAGAAATTTCGGCATAAAAACGATAACAACTGTTTGAAAAGGACTGAAGGCGAAAATCGACTACTCCACCGAAACAATAAATTCATTGTACGGTGCAAAACTTCGTTTTTTTCTCGTTGTTTTGGTTCGAATCGAATGAGAAGATAAATTGAAATGGTAGGGAGGCTACGCATGCCGTCGTTTACAACCAAAGAAACGAACTGAGAGAGAGAGAGAGAGAGAAAACACCGTTCGAACCGCCAGTCAGTGCAATAAGATACTCAATTCATCGTTGCAATATGCGCACAAAGTGAAGTGAATTATGCACATATGCGAATTTGCAGTCAGTTTTCGATTGTTGTGCTGCACGGGTTTTTTCCCTTCTTTCATTAATTGAATAAAAACACAAACGATCAATGGTATTTCCAGACAGTGAGCGAGCGAGTAAGAGTAAGAGTAACGAAAAACCGACCCGTAAAGGGAAACCTACGAAAAACATGCCGTTGTGGCAGTGCACTGACACAGGCACAGGCACAGCCACAAATACACACAGCGAGTATCTAGTCAGTGCTTGATGGCTTGAGCCGTTAAATATAGATATTGGCAAGCGACACCGAACAAAGTGTGTGAGCGAGAGATCAAGTGATTGTGTTGTCTTTTTCAGTGCTGCTAAACTGAACACAAAAATGTGCGTATGTTTTGTCTCTCGGCTGCCAGCACAGTGTACAGGTTCTGAGTCGAGCGATTTTTTTTCGGTTTTTATGTCTCGGAGAGACTTTTGTGCTCGAGAGTGTTGTGTTGTTTATGTGCAATCGCAATGCTGTATAGACGCCGTAAACAGTGTGAAGTCATCAGAGGACGGTGTATGCGACGATTAAGCAGCGTTTTAGCCATTTATGCTTGTCAACGACACTCGGCTACATGGAAATGTTTCTTTTTTTCAATTTTCGCTACTAAAAATGGCGATGGCGAAGCTATTTAAGTGCAAAAATCCATTGCAATGCTGTGACATTTGCCAGCGTATTTGTTGGTTTCGAAGGCAAATGCGAGTGCACGCGCGCGCACATTAGCGCCAACCAAACACAAAACCGTAACTCTCAACTTCAGCGTTTGTCGGTTCTTTTCTCTCTCTCTTTCGAATCAAAATATTTTACACGTGATAAGCCACGATCATTATTTATTCGTTGCCGAAAAAAATTGCGTACATACAAATAAAACCGTTTTTTATTAAGCCGATTGACCATAAATTTTGCGATTTAACACACACAAATACACTAACACAACACAATGAATATGCGAGGATTAATTTGCTGCAAGCGATTTGAGCGTGGAACGAATGCAGCCCAATTCAACGCTTGATTCCAAGCTCACAAGGAAGTTAACCAATATGTTTGATGGTTTCGTTTTTCATTCGCTCCACTTGGTGCTTCGTGCACAATGCACGCACAAATATGGACGATACCATTATTGCTGTGTGTTTTTTTTATATTTTGTTTGAGCCTGCGGTGAATCGGAAGTGAATAATGGAACATAAACAAAACACATGACCGATACATGAACCAAACAATATCTATATCCAATATCAAGTCAATGTCTATCTCCCGTTCGCGCGCTCTTCGGCTTGCATACTGATACACCGGGATATTGTTCGTGTTCAATGTCGTGCCTTCTGTTGTTCTTGCTGTGCGGCAATTGGAGAGGAAAAAAAAATCATGAATTCAAATCAAGTCGGCACAAAAACACACAATATATTCTCGGTCGCGTGAACGTCAAAGATTACAACATTTACACCCGTTCGGTTGAACAAATTTTGACACTTGAAAAATCAAATGCATAACACAGTCATACAATTGAAAACAAAAACGCGCAATTGTTTCGGTTTCATTTTCTTTCTCGCTCGCTGAACACCAATTTTCAATTATAATATTATATCCAAAACGGTTGTTTATTTTGAAATGAATAATAGATTCGATGTCGATATGATCAAGTGTACAAACACGAATTATTCGATAATGGAATTAGTCGAAATCGTTGATTGAATTCGAAAACACTCACAGACAGGAACAATTGTCCAAATATCATCATTTAACTAAATCTCACATCCGTTTACTTCTATTAATCAATTTTCGGATTTGTTTATTTTGTCATTTCTCGACATTCAATTTAAAAAAAAAAACGTGTCTCGTTTAATGTCGTCGAATGAAATAAAAATTCAGAATGTTCTATTTGCTTTCGTCAAATTTAATGGAAATGTGCGTCATTTCTTCGTAAAAGATGAGCCACAACAAATGGTACAAATTTTGGCGGCTTTGTTGTTCGTTCGTATTTCCGTTTGATTCGTCGTGAACTCAGCTTCCATCTTATGCGCCGAAGTCAGACTGTCTAACGGTAGCACAAACGATTCATCGCACAAAATTCATTTTTATACACTAACCAAATGTTAGTGCCGATTACATTGTGTACACATAGTCTGTCACACGACTCGCTGTGTGTTTGTGTTGTAACTTCACAATTCGGCCAAAACGTGCTAATTATTCGACGCGAACCGGTGAGATGATGAAAGTGCCGTGAGAAGAAAAAGTGTGACCAAAACCGAAAATCGGCTGAGCATAACTTAACCCAATAATATTTCGTTTCGATTTCGAGATCTATGAAAGTTGGGGCCTTTGATTGGGCTCTTCCATCTTTCAATTGTGTTTGTATGCTGTTTCGGATTTCTTCATACAGGTCAACCGAATAGCACACTACATTGATGCTTGGGTTTTCTCGCTCTCGTTTCTCTCTCACACACACAGAGCAACAGACCGATTCGATGCGGTGTTGTAACTTTTACAAATGTTTACGTAGTAAATTTAAGCCGCACAAGTTCTATTTGATTCATATTAGTGGACATTGCTTTCCGTACCCGATGAACGATGCTTGTAAAACGAAAAATAAACGATTTCTCAATATCATTTGATGTTCGGATTTTTTCGTTCGGTTTGTTGTTGGTGACTGAGAAATGCGTCGAAATTCTGGAATAAATTTGTGGCTATTGAATTTTGTTCGACATTCATGTGGTGTTTTTGGCGAGATATCACAGAAAACGCATGAATTTTGTATGAAAAATATGCATGTGCAAAAGAGGCTTCGTTCATTCGCCCATAAGTTTGTATGACGAGTTCAATGTCTTTACTTTGACCCTTCAAACAATGGGTCAATGGCGTGATCGTTTGTAGTTCAACCATCTACTTCAGATTTTCAATTAAAAACGAAATAATTCACACACGCTCATTTATTGGTTCCAGTGAATTCATCGGTGTGTTTGATTCCCATTGCTTGAATCATTCCATGTACTGAAAAATTCAATTGAATCGGTGATCGGTGTGTGTGTGTGTGTGTGATGATGGTCTGGCATTTTAATTAACATGAAAATTCGGTAAAGTGAGAGATTTCGACATTTTAGCCTTTGATTCGCATCTGATTTCAATTTGTAGTACTCTTTTCTTGGAAAAATCAAATACAAAGTACATCCAACTGTTTTGTGTGTTTGTTTGAGATTATGTCCATTAAATTTCTGACCATTTGAAATGAAAGAACAAGAGGAAACAAATAGAATATCCAAAGAAAATCGAATTAGCTCACCATTTACGATTTAACATGCCAAGTGCAAATGACTCAAATTATATACGACGATGTGGATAGTGCGTGTGCGATAGGGCGTATTTGCGAGCGAAACTGCTTCAAATCGGCGTAAAATTGTTTCTTTTTTCCCAAATGAAGCTCGCGTTCTTAGATCTGTTGTTTGTTTGTTTGTTTCGTCTTCAGTCTTTTTTTCTAATTTCTTGTTCTTCTACTGTCAATTACACACATGTACACTTTCTTTCTTCAATAAAAACGCACGGGCACACGCATGGATTTTTCGTTGAACTGTGCAGATTATCGCTCCGAAAATACTACAATACTTTCGGTTACTTTACTACTAATTTGTAATTAAACCACGTACAATTAAATTTTTTTCATTTCATCGAGTGTATGACTGGTTTTTCAGCAAATCAGGTGGCTTCTTTTTCTTGTTTGCTGCTGTTGCTGCCACAGTTTGTGTGTTGTTACTTATTTTTTTCTATATATATTCGTTCGTCTTCTGTTTTGTTTTTGCTGTTTAGTTTATGTTTTTCTCACACAACGAAAATGCACATCATTTGCTCTTCGCGCTGTTATTTCTTTACGCGCTTCTCGCTGTTGTTGTTTTTCTTCTTTATTTCAAACTGAAAATATCTCTGTATGTTTTTTTTCTCTCTCTTTTCTTTCTGCTGCGGTTATTTTGTTTTTATTTCGAATATTTTTCTATGCATACTCAATTCGGTTTTTTTTACCATTCCGTATTATTTTCTTCGGAACTTTTTCCTCTGACTGTTTGATGCACACACATAACAACAAAAAAACACAAATAATAATAATGCTGGCGAAGAGAGAGAAACAGATTTGTATGTATCTCTGTATGTTTCGGTGCTGTTTTTTCATTCGCTTGTTCTTTCTTCACTTACAAATTACACAGTACACTTGCTGAGGTAAATCGCCTGAAAAATCGTAAAACTGCCAGCAATTCGATGTTGACGGCGAATTATCAAATACTCGGTTCACTTGAAGTATTTTGTCAGTTTTATTTGTTGTTCCTGGTCTTTTTTTGTCGTTGTTGTTGTTGCGATAAACTTAGTCCGTTTCGATATTCATGAAACGGATTTTAATTCGAACACACAGTTGCACTTGGCAAATGATACACATAACAAAAACACGCACAAAATAAACGAAACGAATTAAACGAAATAATAATACGAATAGTTAGGTGGGGAAAGAAAAATGCACAAAACTAATGGAGAAATGTCTCAATAGAAAGAGATTTCATTATCCATCGAAAGACGGGTCGGTCGTTCGATGTGAAACACCGAAATCAAATGAAATATATAAATATTGTAAAGAGGAGACGCACTACAAATGAGACGACGTGTGCTGCGACGATTCAACGATGTTACCGTACATAATAATACTGACGTTCTGTTGCACGATTTCAACCAAAAACCTCCATCAACTATCGGAGCACACCAGCACAAGAAGCGAAAGAGCAGCAGCAGCAGGCAGGCAGGCAAGCAACTATTTCACTTCGCTCCGTTCGCCCGTACAGCAAATCCAATCGTTGCGTCTCGTTCGCGTGCTGTGTGTTGAATTTTGTAAACGGAATTTGCTATGCCACTCACACCAACGATGCGTACCATTTGTTGGCACATTTATTTTCCACATTTGTGTCGCGCTATTTCATTCGCTTCAATTGGCTTTTTACATTCTTCGTGCGATTACATTAAAACACATACGGTCGACAGCAGCGGCGGCAGCAGCAGCAGCAGCACAGCAATACATACAAACCCGTACACATTCCTACCTAATGTATACGGCAAACGGTCTATTGCTTTATTCAGTTCATTCGAACCGCTCGCTTTGTGCCTGCATGTGTGTGTGTGTGTGAGAGTGAGTTCGTTGGTATTCGTGCATAGTAGTTTCGGATGGCGTGAATTTGTAATAGTAGGCGAATGCACACTGGAATGAGTGGCAAAGTAAAGTGTACGGACTACTCATGCTTGTATTTGTATTTGTATTTGTACCGCACACATTCTGGCGCTAGTAACAGACCAATATTTTCGATCAACACAAACACGACACTCTCTTGATCACACTCTTTACTCACTCGCTGTGTGTATCGTTTGTGAAGAAATGCATTGTTGTTGCTGCTTTTTTTCGGTGATGAAACAGAAGGACGACAAACCAAGAAAATCGTCTCTCTTTCTAGCCTCATAAAAGCCATACGTGAATGTACTGTACACACTGTGGATAACAGCAGCAGCAGAAGCAAGTCAGAGCTGTTCGTTTCTCTTACGTGCGATGCTTTACATCTCCCGACCGGGCACGGTTAGCCAGTGAACAAAGAGAGTGATCTAAATGAACCAAAAACCCGTTAATCTGAATTGGTTTGCAAGCATGATGCTCTTTGGAGGTTTCGCTTTTAAATCGTGCAACAGAGCGTCAGTATGATTGAATAGTCTCCGTACACGTTGTCTCATTTTTAGTGTGTCCTCTCTTTACCATATTCATTATTCGTTTAAATATTTCATTTAATTTCGAAACGAAACAAACAACACATTTAAGAAGGCGAGCTTCATTTGAGAAAAAAAAACATTTTTACGCCGATTTGAAGCAGATTTGCTCGCAAATACACCCAACCGCACACGCAGTCATCGTGTCTAATTTAAGTCACTGTGCTTTTTAAATCGCAAGTGCTGAGCTAATTCAAATCTCTTTGGATATTCCATTTGTTTCCCCTTATTCCTTCAATGCCAATGATCAGAATTTTAATGGAAATAATCTCAAACAAACACACGAAACAGTTGGATGTACTTTGTATTTGATTTTTCCAAAAAAAGAGTACTACAAATTGAAATCAGATGCGAATCAAAGGCTAAAATGTCGAAATCTCTCACTTTACCGAATTTTCATGTTAATTAAAATGCCAGACCATCATCATCACACACACACACACACACACTCACCGATTCAATTGAATTTTTCCGTACACGGAATGATTCAAGCAATGGGAATCAAACACACCGATGAATTCATTGGAACCAATAAATGAGCGTGTGTGAATTATTTCGTTTTTAATTGAAAATCTGAAGTAGTGCGAACGATCACGCCATTGACTCATTGTTTGAATGGTCAAAGTAAAGAAGTCATACGAACGGATGAGCGAATGAACTTTGAACCCCTTTTTTGAACTACTTTTGCACATGCGATTTTTTTCATACAAAATTCATGCGTTTTGGCATTATCTCGCCAAAATCGCCTCATGAATGTCTGTACGGAGTGTGCACTTACTTTTTGTAAGTGGTAAATTTACACAGTGAGTTTAATATAATGAGACTGGTATGAATTAATTACTTTATTTTCCTTTCGTATGAAAATTGACATCAATATTGTAAATCGTTGGTAAAACACATTTTAAAAATACTTCAGTCTTATAGGAATGTTGTATTTGCACGGCAAATAAATACTTTTACACCTATATCTATGGAGTTTTGATTGTTTCCACAACGTTCAACACTAGAATTGATGAAAGTTCAAGCGCTTCATTTTGTGATTCGTTTGCTTGCTTCTCATCTATTCCACTATTCGCTTCGGCATTTTTTTCTTCTCTTATTTGAAAATCCTCCTCTTCATCAAAGAAAATTCCAGACAGTACTTTTTTAGGGTCAATATTGGGTGTGTAATCCATGTGACATTTCAGAAAGTAGTCTTGAGCTATGAAAAACAATGGTTTGATTAATAAAAATTGGTGATTTTGGATAGAAAAGAAAAAATATGCAAATATAATACCGAGAATCACAAAAAGAAACGTTTTCAAAGCTAAATGCAATTCAAAGAGCAGAGCGGGATCGATTTCTCTATCGAATAGATATATATCAAATCCAAGTAGTAACACTAGAATTATTCGAACAGAACCTGATATAACAACTATGTAACCGAAGAATGTCCAATTGATATTTGGCCCATAATTCTGGATGAAGGTGGTAATTTTGGTCTCTATTGATGCTTCTTTTCCCTCACGTGAACAAAAGCGAAAGAAAAAATCTAGAAAAAAAATCATTGTATATTCTATGAAATATATGAATCAAAGGACATACAAGTGATAGCAAGATGAGCTAGGGCGTAATCGTCAATCCCGGAAAGTGGTTTAAATATATTAAGAATTGGTATTGCATATAACATGATGGGCAATGTTGCGTGAAGTGATCTTCTCATTACGGCAGTTTTCCAAAGAGATTTTTCTTCAATCTGAAAAGTGAATTTTCGGTTGTATTTTTCTTCATTCTAATAAATAATTATTATTCTTATACTCACTCACCTCATAAATGTTCCAATAAATTAATTGCAAATGATTGACAATGTTCATTACCAGATACGAAATTAAGAAAAACCATAATAGATTGAAAACTATACACGAAATGATATCTGTTTGGAGAAGTGGAAGAAGCTTCATTATGACCGTCACATTTAGACTATGCCCTGTTTCGTATAAGACAAACAGAGCAATGTGAGCTTTATATTTGTTTCGAAACAACTCCATTTTGTAGATTGTAAAGTACACTGTCAACGTTAAAGAAAAATGATTATTTGTTAATTTATTTCGCTTATTTGAAGAACGAATAAATGAATAAATGTATTACATGCAATAACGTATACAAAGAGCGCAGCTACAACCAGTTTTGAGGAGGGTCGATCCCATTTGAACACGATGTACAACTCCATGCCGAAAAAAGATGAAATTGCGAACGGGAAGAAATATCGTTCCCATTTACACGTTACTGCCTTTTCTTCAAAATTTTGGACCATTTTTTGTTTTTTCTTGTAATATTTTTCTCAGACACAACAGCAAACTTGTTCATTGGTTTAAATAAAACTAAATGTGTTTATTTTGGTTTAATTATTTTAATTTGAATCTATTGTTGTATACAGCAGCCCTCGAACTGATTCGACTCTGAGTTGTGAATTCGATTCACAAGTTGAGTATATAAGTGTATGTGTGCGGGATTTGCGCATGCTCCGCTCTCGCTACTTGTATCCTTTGTATAGGAAGTGTCCTGCATGAAATTTATTATTCCTAAATTCGGCTAGATGGCGGCTCATGTTCTATCAGCTGATTCATATGGATTGAATATAATCTACATATATTTTGTTTGATTTTTTCTTGTATACCTCATTTTTTTCTGTCCACTGAAAATTATGGGTTAAGGAAAAAATAGAAAAATTGAGATTATATTTGTGCCGCATTCATCTCGATTTATCTCTAAGATTGCATTCATACTCTTGATACGGTTGTTTTTTCTTGTGTGATAAGAAGTGAATGTCTATCATATTTTGTCAAGATTCATAGCGACACAATGTCGACACCAGCGTCACGCATTCACATGATTTACATTGATTGGATCAACTGTTCAACTCACGTTCATTCAATCAATATTTTTCCAATAATTTTAGGCAGCAAAAAATACATTCAAAATTCAAATTGTACGAATCAATATTGAAGAATGCTGGCGAAGGAAAAAAAAACGTATATATTGGTTAACTGTGACCAGTGCATTGTGGCGTGAGACTCATTCATACATTTGCTTGTGCAATTGATTGAATGTGAACTTGTGAGTGCATACGCACACAATGACAAAGCAGCGCATTGAATTCAGAAATATGGCAGTGTGTGTGCGAGAGAGAGAGAGAGAGAGAGAGAGAGAGAGTGAGTGAGTTCTAGAAATACGAATCTCAAGCAAAAGAAGAAAAAAATTCAAAACTCTATTGAGTTGAAAGAAAGAGAGAATGAGAGCAGCTTTAAAAGCGCGTTGCATTCTGAATTGTTGTATATTTTGCCGACGATGACTCAATACGTGTACGAGCACGTAGAGTAAGAAGAAAAAAAACGAAGTAGAAATGAAAGAAAGGAAAAACCATGCAACTAAAACTCCTACACGCATACAATTGGATTTAGTTTTATTTCGACTACATGTAAGAGAATAAGAAGAGAAAAAGCGCATTGAATGAAGAAGGAATAATCGACGATCACAACTACATCCAAACACAGACACACATACACACACATACAAAACATTCGAACAATTAAAATTTCTTTACAAATGAAAAAAGAAGAAGAAGAAGATTAAGAACGAAAGGTATGATGTGTTAGTGGTGTTTTTTTATTTTGTGTGTATATTTCCTTTCCTTTTCCACCTTTGATTCATAACTTAATGTGTGCAGTTCAATGCAATCGACCCAACCACACAGAGAAGCGCCGAAACAGAGACTGAATTACTATTCCACCTAATGCCATTCAAACTTTGATAATTTTTTGTTATTGTCGTTGTACGCTCGCTCGCCACTTACTCACTCACTCACTCACTCACTCTCTTTCGCTCCAAATGCACAACACAAACACGAGCACACACTCACAAAACGTCACCAAGAAATGAACGTTAGATTTCCTTTTCAGCACATTTTTCGGTTTTTCTACTACGAACACCATCGTTTGATGTTGCATATTATGCGCTTGTTGTGTATGCTTTTTCTTTCTACTCTCTTTTTTCATTCGATTCCATGCCTAACTATTCTGCGGCCATTCTTTTCCATTGTCGTACCGTCGACGTTTAACTTCTTGTGTGTGCGACATCATATATAATTCATATTTGTTTTTCTTCTATGTCTTCGTTTTGGTTATGCACATTATACGTTTTGATTATATTTTTGTTTCGTTTCGTTTTAAGATTCCCTTGAATATGTTTACTAGCCGTTTTGTAGTCCGCATGTGTTTTTGTGCACATTAAATTGGTATTTGGCTTTGGTTTGAGTCGGTGTGTGACAGAGAGAGAGAGAGAGCGAGAGGATTTTATTTTCTCTTCTGTCATCGTGGTTGAATAACTAATGCCCGAAACATAGTTGGCTGGACTCATAGGTTTTCAGAGAGAGTAAAACAGTAAGAGAAAAAGAAGGGAAAAAGCCATATATACTCATATTGATTGGGATATGCGGTGGTGATAGGCGAAGCAATGGCCACAACCACGCCATTAATATGCAATCCTTTCGTCGAACGGACACTTTTTTTTTGAATAGAGACACAGGTTTGGATAATTGTGAACGGAGCGCACAACATATCGTCTGCATAGCAAGTCTAGTGCAAGGACATCAATGCACAAAAAAATATCCACACACTCACACAAATCACATGCAATGAATAAAATCGCAACCAAACTACCGACCAGACCTTAAATTCAAAGCACTGTTCTATACGGAGTAGGAAAAAACCATGATCCAATAAAAATATATATACATTATACAATTTCTGCAATGCAGTCACCGGACCTGTACTATACGCAGGCATGAGCATAGCGTTGAGCGATAGAAAAAACAACACAAAATAGAATCGGCGCTTTACACTAGTTCCGTTTTTCGTCGCCTTCAAATGGATTAGAATGCTGATAAGAGCGAAGAAATAGGGTTCAATGCTGCTTACGACTCTTGTTACCATTGAAAATTGATTTATTTCAGCTATAATAATAAGGATGAAAATAAATGTCCATGTGGAACGGTTCCAGTGCTATTCCCAGTTTCAATGAGTAATTCCGTTCAATTTCAGCTTGAATATATTGAAAGTTGAATGAAATGGGACGGATATTGAACCGTTATGGTTTTGATTAAGCAAATTTTTCAACTAATTTTAAAAACGATCGCAATATTATTCATAATATTATGCAATCGATTCAGTCTGAATAGTATTGAATTATTTTGATCGGCACTCTACTATTTTTCCATGTTCGTAGAATCATCAAATGAACGCATTGCATTTCCTATGTGTCATGGATTGTGTGCACACAAGTTCCGATTTCAAATCGGTATCTATCTCGACACACGAATTCCGGAATGGCGAATGAGTGTGAAAAAAAGACGAGAGAAGTGATGATAGACGCAGATCCAATCAAATACAACCGAACACCGGGTAGATTTCTCGGAAATGATACAGAGAGTGAGGTTTTCTTTCGACTTCATATATGATTCACTACTAAAAATGCATTTGCTGGCACAATCTGTTCGGCCTTCGGAGCACACATAGAATCTGTGTCATCCTTGTCGAATGAAAAAAAAACGAAAAAAAATCTATAATATTTTCTGATCGGTTTTGGTCTTCGATTTCATCGTAGTAACTTCTGTTACATTTCTTATGACTTTCTGTGTTTGACTAACGATCTCAGTAAATAATATTGTTCGGGAACAAGATATCACAAAGTGAATAAAAATGTTCACAAGAGAACCAATAAAATAAAATAAAAAATAAGACAGAACGAAAAAAAATAAGTGAAAGAATGACGAGAAGAAGGAGAAAAAAATTGATGAGGATAAAAGGAATGCCATTGAGAACGAAATATTCATGTGTAAATGAAGTTTCGCTCTCTCTCTCTCTCTCTCTCTCTCTCTCTCTCTCTCACATACACACAATCGAGTCATCGATGAATAGATGAATGGCCGTAGACACGCAGCTCAAAGAACAGTGCCTACAAAGTGGAAGAAATGGAATCGATGAACAAACAAACCAGCTCGAAAATTATGAAAAGAACATTTCAGAAATGAAAAGACGAGAGAGAAAAAATGAAATAAAAGTAAAAGAAGATGAAATAGGAAGAATAGAGTCTCTGTGATTGTAGTTGCACATAGTATATAAACATATTGCATTTTTGTATGCGATTTCCAGCCGAGGACATGAATGGTACATGATCGGAACTAATAGAGAAAAAATGAAAATATAACGTCAATAAAAGGAAGTTTCACCTGAATAGAACGAATCGCTCTCGTCTCATTCACTCTCTCTCTCTCTTCCCCTCCCTCACACGCGCACTCGTTCGCTCTTTCATTAACTCACTTTTGGGTCTGTTAGTGTGTGTTCGTTGGAGCGGCCACTTTGATAAAATGTGTGCATTGTAAGTGTCTCAAGTTTTGTGGAATTCAGAACGGATACAGCCAAAGGTTGAACAATGGGTCAGTTCCGATGCATCATACTTAACGAGTTTTTTTTGGGCTGGTTCCATTTTTTTCTTGCCAATAAATACGCGCCCTTTTCACATTTTCACATTTCTGCACACTTTTCGATGAATGAATGTGTTAAATTGGGTTGCATTTACTTGTGAAGCCAATTCTCAATTACATATTCGTTTGAAACTTTTTTGTTCAATGCGAAAGAAAAACAAAAACAAACAAAAGCCCAACTCAAGAACTTCCGAAGTCAATGAGAGCCAAAAATGAATGAACGAAATGAAGCGAAAACCAAAACAGAAGTGAATTGCAAACAAAATTGAGAAAACGTGTTGATTCTTGAATCGGTTGCCGTATTGTTTCAAGGAAAATGCATTTTGCATTGTCCCACGCTAACAGGTTCCCGGAATCGGAGCATGTCGGCTCCGAAAATTCAAAGAAAAAACAAGTTTGAAACGTGTTTGCAGCAATAGTCAGCGTAGTCACCCATTCATCTTGTGCGTTCCGATTGAAGTGACAAATTCAGTTCCACAACTAAGCCAAATTTAACGATTTTGTCATTGAATTATAGTGCCAAAAGCCGCTTCAGTTTACCGCATACACCGAACATCAATCTCTCTCTCTCTCTCTATTAAAGTCTATGCATGGAGCGAATAAACTTAATAAAAAAATTTTATTCAATATTCTAGCAGAGGATCAACATCTGGTTACAAATATGGATCGAATTGCTCTATAATCCCCACGAAATAAAAAAAAACGATCAGAAGATGAAAAAATAAGAGTTGACATCAACCGATTATAGAATGGAGCGAATAGAGTTGGATTTGACGTTTTATATTGATTTCGACCAAATAAAAAAAACGGTATTAAAATCGACTAGAAACCGAACGTCGACGATGGTAGAGTTTGAATTTACGCGTTTTTTATTTGAATTAATGTTTCAGGTTGTTCCATTAACTAATAAA